ACAGCTGTGCATCTCTCTCTATCAGTGTTACAGAGGAGGAACAATTTATGAGTTTACCCTGTATAAGCTTTATACAAGGTAAAACAGATTTATTTAGGGTTTGGACCCCATTGGGAGTTCAGCATCTTAGTGTTAAAGACAGGAACACTTCTTAAGCTGCTTTGAGTTTAAGCCTACAGCTGTTAGGGGACGTGGTCAGACTTGGGTCTGGGTTTGCAGCAGGCTAGTGGGTCTGGCTCAAACCAGGCTGAAGTGCCAAGCTGGGAGGGCAGGGAAAGCAGGGGCCGAAGTAGTCTTGGCACATCAGTTGGTAGCCCCAAGGAGGTTTCTGTGATCCACCCATCACAGTTGACGATCATGAACTTTATGTGCTTGCCTCTGATCAGTGGTAGGAAATGTGTACAGGCATTCTTGACTGCTCTGAGTTCTAGCAAGCGGATATGTAGCGTGAATTCAAGTGGGGATCACTTGCCTTGACCATTTGCCCGATGGGCTCCCTATCGCAATAGGGATACATCTATTGTCAATATTAATGGTTGGGGTGGTTGAGTGACATTGTGAGGGCCTTTCCAGCAGTCAAGGGATTTTTTGACTGTCAAGGGCATCAAGAGAGGCTTCTTTAAGCTGTGCTTGCTTGGCACGTATACAGTTCTGAGCCACCCTTTAAGGCAGCACATGTAGAGTTTCGCTGCCAAGTGTCCCAGTAGCTGGAGACAGTTTCTGGCTGAAGTCTGAGGACTGGCCTGGATTGTCAAGACTTTGAGAGGGAAGGAAAGCTTTGGTTGCCACCGCATCTAGATAGGCTCCTGTGAATTCGAGAGGTTGTACTGGAATGAATGTGGACTTTTGGACATTTAATTGGAGTCCCAGCTAGAGGAATAATTCCATGGTCTTTTGTGTGGCCCTCAGAGTCACTGAAGGAGCATGCTTTGAGCAGGCAATCGTTTAAATATGGAATATCATAATTCCTTGTTTGCAAAGGTGCTCCGCTACCACAGAAAGGACTTTTGAGAACACTTTGGGTGTGGATGATAGTCTGAATGGGAGTACTTTGTACTGAAAGTGATTTTATCCAAGAGTGAATTGTAGAAACCTTCTGTGAGATGGGTGGATTGCAATATGAAAGTAAGCATCTTGAAGGTGGAAAAGCAGAAAACCAGTCCGGTTGGTCCAAAGATGGAATTATTGCTGAGAAAGTAACCTTTTTGAAGTGTTATACCTTTACAAATGTTCTGAATGATCTTAGATCTAGAAAGGGTCTCCAACTGCCAGTCTTTTTCAATATCAGGAAATACTTGGAGTAGAATCCCTTCCCTTTGTGTTCAGTGGGAACAGGTTTTATAGCACTAGCTTCAGGAGAAAGTTGGTTTCCTGACATAAAAGGAGCTCATGAGAAAGAAGAGGGACGGAGCGGGGAGGTAGACAGGGGGAAAGGAGGTAAAATAGATTGAATATCCTATGGAGATGATTTCAACACCCACCTGTCCATAGTTATATGTTCCCAAGTCTTGACAAAAAAAGAGCAAGGTGGTTGCTGAAGCAGGAGAGATGTTTGGGTTGCTGCAGCAAATAAAAATGGAGGTAGTAAAGCAGGGCCTCAATCAACATCAAAATTGGTGGTTAGACATAGAAGGCTGTAATGTTTGTGGAGCAGCTGGTCTCCTCTTTTGTCAACTTTGTCTTTTTCACTGGGGTTCATAATGCCTTGGGGAGGAGGAAATTGAGTAGGTTAGGGTCTCTGTGCTGTCTTGGATTTACTACAACTTCTTTGTGTGTGCAGGCATGTAAATTACCAGTGGCAAAGTGGCTCTAGAATCTTTTAGTGTGAAGGGATTCAACCATTTTCTCTGCAAATATCTTTGATCCCTCAAATGCAAGGTCTTCCACAGTAGATTGGACTTCCCTTAGAAAGCCAGAAAGGTGAAGCCAAGAAGCCCTTTGCATGACCACTGCTATGTCAGCGGTGCCTAGAGAGGCCTGCAAAGATGTCCTTGCGAGAAGTTGACCTTCAGCAATGATTGCCTGAAACTGTTCCCTCTGATCAGCTGGAAGACGTTCAATGGAAGCGTTCAGGCTGAAAATAATTGACATGACTGTACTTTGCCATAAGAGTTTGGTAATTGGCGATCCTAAATTGTAGGGTCACCGACGAATATGATTTTAGTCCAGATAACACAAGATGTTTCAAGTCCTTGTGACAGGATGTCGATTTAGCTTGGTGCTGTCTGCCACATTCATGTACAGCGTCAACAAGGGAGTTCAGTGACGAGTGTGAAAATAAAAAGTCCAAGTCTTCAGAGAGAACATAGTATTTTTTGTCTGCTCTCTTGCATGTGGGAGGTTTTGTGGCTGGTGTCTACCATATAATTTTTGCTGGGTCCAGCAAGGCCTCATTAATGGGAAGTGCAATGTGGGCATGTACAGGATATCGAGCAGCTTGTGTTGTGACTCTTTAACCTCTTCCAGCGGAATTTTTAAAGGAGGCATAACAGCTTTATTAGGAGAAGATGAAGAGATATTGGTTGCAGAAGTAATCTCTAGTCTCACTCCTTGTTCCTCAAAGCTCTCCTCTTGCAGATCATGAGGTCTAGACAGAGAAGATTGTCTTCTCCTATCCCTATGAGAAACACTATGGGCCCTCAAGAATTGGTGTCTATAGGCTACCCAGGAGTCCCAGTAAGGCCACTGAGGTAGTGCAAAAGGGATGGGTGGCGCAACCAAGGATGTCCATATCAATTGGATATGTCATGTCTCTCAGTGGTAAGCTGGTTCTGCAGAGGCTTCAGGCTAGCTCACTCTCTGATAGTGGAATGGAGCGCCTTGAACTGATGAGATTGAATGACACGTAGTTGTTGAGCCGGTCTTCTGCAGAGCCGAAGAACTCAATACTGGGGCTGTAGAGGCCTGTGACAGTACTGATTTAGAGGAGCTTGTTTTCTCTCTATCACTCCATTCATGCAATGGTACCAATCTTCTGGAGCCTGAACTCTCAGAGTCCCTAGGCTTGCTGGAGGTACCGGTACCTGAGGAGCCTGCAGCCTTGTAGGCACAGAGTCAGACACTGGTGAGTGCCAAGGAGGTAGACCTTGTCAGGGATCATCTCTGTGATAGATTCTCTATCCAGTGGACTTGAAGCCCACTTTTTTTTACGGTTTTTGAGGCAATCCAAAGATTTCCTCTTCAAAGCTGCAGGGGAATACTGAGCAGAGGAAATCAATGGAATGGGCCTCATTGGGGACCACTATACGTGGTGGTGGAGAAGGCTGGTTGGACTGAACTTTCCATCATTAGCAGCTGGAGTTTTAGCTCATGGTTCTTTCTCGCTCTTGATTTTAATTTAAGCAGAAAGTACACTTCTGAGGCACATGCGACTCCCCAAGACAGCAAAAGCAGCAGAAATTTCTGTTATGGACCAGGATTACTTCATGGCAGGAGAGGCAACAGTTAAACCCGGGAAAGCCAGGCATACCATGGACAGACACTGCTACCTAAAATCTCCAATCTGAGGTGCAGGGGGTCCGAACGCATTTAAAGTGGAATACCCATAGGGACACTATTCGAAGTAGTAGTAAGAGTTCCCGTGGTCCATTCTGTCTGATCTGGACGCATTCTTGGAGTAAATGTACAGCAGATGGAGCTTCTGGGTGGAGTGTGCCTTTCACCAAGACATGTAAGGTGCCTCACATTAACATATGATGCTAGAAATACTTCTGGACACACAGCGCATCTTTTGAAGACTGCTCCTCTAATTTTTGGCTCCACTATTATAGTTAAAACAGAGAGATTAAAAATTCTAACTCTACTAACAGTATTAAGTATGAGAAAGACAAGATAGATGAGGTAACAACTTTTATTGAACCAACTTCTGTTGGTGGAAGGTACAACCTTTTGAGCCACAGAACTCTGCTTTAGGTCTGGGGAAGGAAACAGAGTGTCTGAGATTAAGTATCTAACATTAACTCTAAAATACCTACCTACCTAATGGTACTATAGATGAGAAAAGCTCCAGATCCAAGAGATATGGAGAGGTTCACTTTTGTCTAATGCTGCGGTTGAAAGGAACTGGGGAACAGATGCCACATTATAGCCTTGCCTTCATAACATTTTAGAGGGTGTGTGAGCACTCTAACAGGTAGTGCTTAGAACAGGTTCTACTGTCTAGGCTGCACCAACTGGCACAACCCAAGAATGGGAATATGCAGAGGACACTCGAAGATAAACAGGAAGCTAGAATGGAACCGTTAGTGCCACCACCTTAACTACACTCCTCACTGCAGATCCTGCTGTAGTGTACAGTAGCTGAAGCACTTTGACACATTTCTGAACATTTAAAGCAAATATTTGTTTTAAGATCAACTACAGTATGCTAGAACGGACAAACTTAAAATAGTATAACATTAAAAAGAATCCTTTTAGTCACTTAAATCAGTGTTTTCTCTGAAATTTGAGCTGCAATTACCAAAGTACTCATGCAACTGACAAATTTGACAGATGTCAAAAATTAAAAACATACTGATGTTAATGAAGGAACACTTTCTGTTATGTGAACAACATTTTTAGTCAGTACAGAAGGAAAAGAACTGAAGAATAATGGATGTGATACAAAAGTGGTCTCTCTTAATGCATCAAAATATCAGCAACTGAAGCCATGATCATAAATTGAAGTTTAGAATAGGACACACAAAAGTGTGTGTTTTGGTTACCTTAATATACTGAGACAGAAGAGGAAAGAAATGAAGAACCATGCATACACAAGCCAAAATCCATGTTGGAGCACACAGTTGATATTCTCTTTCATGAAGGATATTACTTATTTGTATTATAGCAGCATATGCAGGCTCCAATCAAACTAGGGCCCCATTGTGCTAGGCACAGTATATAAAAGAGACATCTTTCACTACACTGAAAACTGGTTTAAGGTTCCAGAATCTACAAATGATTTAAAAAAAAAAAGTTAGGATATATAGTTTAGTATATATCCTGACAGACAGACTGAATACCTGAAGTCAATAGCATTGAGTCCCAACAGCATGCCAGCAAGCATATTTGCTTCCTCTCCCAGGACAATTGCTCCATCTTCATAAAATCTCCTGCAAGAAACAAAATGGTTTTCACCCCACCCACCCACCCACAAATCAAACAAACCCGCCCCCAGAAATGAGCACCAATCTCCGTTCTAAATAATAATTCAGCTATCACATTGACTATTCAAGTTATTAAATTTTTTAAAATTTTTTAAATCCAAATATATGAAAACAGCCACTGGATGCCCAGATGGCATTCATATTTCACTTCTGGTAAAGCAAAGGAAGAGATCACTATAAAGCAATAAACTCAAGGGGGGGGGGAGAGCAGGGAAGTGCTCCATAATAATAAAACTATTTTAAAATGTATAAAATCCAGACAGTGCCAAACAAAATAACTAGATATATGTTAATTAATGTATTATGAGTCTAATGCCCTTGAGAAATAACTGTAGAAAAGGATAAGCCAAAAAACAATCCCCTGCCCCCCAAAAAGAGAGAGGGACACACAATTGGAGTTTTACTTGTGACTGAGAATGTGTGTCATGCCTACTGAAAGAATGACAATTGATGCCACTGTAGAAAGCCTTTTTCATCTATATTTCTTAATTGTACTTAAAGTCAAATTTAAGACCCACTATCCAGATTTAATTAGCAGTCTGCACTCCTATTTTTAGCAGCGTAGCGTCCCACTGCCTCCCCACTGCTGAAGCCTTTCCCTGCCTGAGGGAAAGACTCTCACATCGTGCGTGAAAGATCATTGAAAGACTGGGGCCTAAGGTAAGACTCCAAAATCCACATTTTAGCACTTAAATAAATGGCCTGATTTTCAAAAGGGGCTAACCACATCCATCTCCAACTGAAGTTAATAGCACCAGCAGATGTTCAGCACCCTTAAAGTCAGGCCATTTATTTAGGTGCCTAACTTTAGGCACTCATGTTTGAAAATTTTGGTCATCTCTATTAAAAAAAATTTAAGGAAATAAATCTCTCACTAATAATTCTGGATAATTCAACTAATATTGATATAATTATACACAAATTTATATGACAATTCAGTTAACTCTATAGCAACACACAGGAAATCACTGGTTTAGTCCTCTGCTGCTTGTGGATCAGGAACACCAAATGTTTTGCTTTAGTGCCAAGTCACTGGAAATCTAAACTTCCAGTGCCAAAAGTTCAATACTACTAAAAGTAATTTCATAAGTTGAATGTATAACAACCATTAATTTAATTTTAAAAGGTCTACTGAAACACAGACTCTGTATACATTTCAAGGTTATTGGGAACTTCCTCGCATTCCAAATGAATGGTGAAAAAGGTTTGTTTTCTAAAAGCTGAATTAGTGAAACAGCCAGCTAATCATAATAATTGTTATCTATTACCTACCAAGTTAAATTACTGGACATGAACAAGAAGCGACCGCTTAAGAGGACTTTTTTTGTAACAAAATTCTTCAGAAGAAAAGATTAATAAAACAAAGAGTTTTATTAAAAAAGACATGCTTAAGTGCTTTCAGAATTTCTCACACACTTCAAGGTGTAAGTATTCCTGGATAAGTGCTCATAATTTCAAGCAAAGAGCATGTGACTAGAAGGCTCAGTTCATTCATCTGTAAAATGGAAATAATATCTACCTCACGCTGGTGCAATTTAAGATTTGTAAAGCACTTTGAGATCCATGGACAAAAAGTCTAAGAACAACAATATATGGCAAGTGAAATTATTTTCCCTTAAATTTTGTTGCTGTTCTTTGAATATTCTCCAGTCTATTTAAGTCTCTCTGATATCGTGAGGCCTGATACTCGCATTATTATAGGGGCAGTCTCAGCTCTATATACAGAGACCCCTCTGCTCTGTGACATGAAGCCCCTGCAAGAGCAACCCAAAACAGCAGCAACATATTTTGATACCATATCTATCATACTACAAGCTCATATTAGATTTCCTAGCCACTATTGCCTTCTCTTTTATTAAGGCAATAAAACTATATAGTTGGTATATTATCAAATATAACCAAAGTTATTACATTTTACAGCAGTACTTCACAGCTGTAACCAGCACTCGTGTGCATTAATTCTAACCTTTTCCTCTGTCCTTTCTAAAGTACTTCACCGGAAGTCTCTTCCTTTTCCCCCCCTAAGTTATGCCTGGGGAAATTTTCCATAATAAAACTGGGACAAATTTAATACTTCTTCCACTGTGTTTCTGAAGTCTTTTTAATCTAATGGCACTTCCTCTATCTTGAGAAGAAGACCTCAGACCAATGTTTAATCTTCTACCTTTATGTAGGCAGCAAGCACCAACCCCTCTTCCAAAGTTTAGTTTCCTATCTCACTGATCCTCTCCAAAAGCTCCATTTAAAAAAAAAAAAAAGCCAAACTTATCATCAGAGAGGAATATACGAGTTTCCAACTATGCCAATGCTAACATACAAATATAGGCCTCTAGATCAGTCTGCAAGGGCAGCAACGGATACCCCTCACACAAACTAAACACACCATTTCTGCTATTTACTTCTATTCTTATATAGATCAAGTACCAAGTTCATTCCCGAACCCGGGTCTTTTGCCAAAGCAACATTTTGAAATTTAGCATTAAGCAAATATAAGGACTTTAAGACCTGGTTGTTTTGAAGTCTCTTAGAGCTGCAGAAATATATTCTGACAAATGTTTTTCCATAAGTGCAACTCTGATCCACGCTCTGCCCTGAAAGGAAGAAGAAACAATATCAAATATTTAGATCACATACTAAAAAGCATTCTTAAACCTATGGAAAGCAATCAGACCACTACAGCTGGAGGGGGAAAGCCACTACGCAATTTGCTACTAAAAATATAAATTTGGTATTTAATGTATACTTGACTACAAGAATAAGAAAATAAAACTACAAAACATATTTCTCACATTTTAAAAGGGTATTCAAATAAGAATTCTGAAGTAGCAATCTTTCCTTCAAGAATATAGGAGTGGCTAACTTTCACTCAGAGTTGTACAAAATATTTTTAATTTAATGAAAACAGATGTCAAAGCTCTGGCAACTTTCCATACCTATTTCTGTAAATAAGTTTTGCAACATACCTTTACTTTGGAACTCCTTGTAAACTGCATTTTTGCAATCACTGAAATCTGTTTATTAATCAGTAATTTTACACAGAATTATATTATAAAATGGTGTTTGTCTGTACATAATTTTAAAAGCTAAACTTTGTGTTCTTAAATAGTTGGCAGTGCAGTCTACAATGTTTTCTAATTTAAATTTTTTCACTGGTACCAGTCAAATATACCCAAATCAAACGCCAGTAAACAGGTGGCATGCTCCAAACCAAATATTCATAAATGAGACACCAGCTACTTTAGATTATATACAAAGGCTCATCACACAATTCATAGATTCTAATGCCAGAAGGGACCATTGTGATCATCTAGGCCAGGGGTGAGCAAACTTTTTGGCCTGAGGGCCACATCGGGGTTCCGAAACTATGGCGGGACAGGTGTAGTGTATTAAATTGCTCCCTGCATGAATGTGCTACTTACGGTGTACTACTTACGACTGCCAGTCCTGGTGCTCTGAGCGGCATGGTAAGGGGGTGGGGAGCGGGAGCGTTGGATAAGGGGCAGGCAGGTCCTGGGAACAGGGGGCAGTTGCATAGGCGTGGGAGCCCCGTGGGGCCTGTTGGGGGCGGGGGTGTGGATAGGGGTCCGGGCAGTCAGGGGATAGGGAGCAGGTGGGGGTTGGATAGGGGGTGGAGTCCCAGGGCGGTGGCAGACAGGGGACAAGGAGCATGGAGGGTTGGATGGGTCGGGAATTCTGAGGGGGGCAGTCAGGGAGTAGGAAGGGGTGGATAAGGGGTGGAGGCCAGGCTGTTTCGGGAGGCACAGCCTTCCCTACACAGGTGTAACTGTATTAAATTGCTCCTCATCGGAACGTGCTACTTACAGCTGCCAGTCCTGGTGCTCCGTAAGTAGCACATTCCTACACTACATCATGCGGCTTTGACGGCACAGCGAGCGGAGACTGCCTGGCAGGGGGGACAGCAGGGGAGGGGCTGGGGGCTAGCCTCCCCGGCGAGGAGCTCAAGGACAGTCCCACAGGCCAGATATGGCAGGACGGTCCCGCGGGCTGCAGTTTGCCCACCTCTGATCCAGGCCAAAGACAGCAATTATAGCAGACACCAACTATCACTGGTTTCACACATCCATATCAAGAGTTTAAAAATTGTATTAAAAGAGTAAGGACTTATGTGTGTATATACACACACACACGCGCACACACACACACGCTTTAGCAGACTATTGACTGAAACAGTAGTAAAACCTGGGTATGCTTTCTACAATAAAGAAGAAATTTTTATATGATAGTTGACCCTAATTCAAAAGATAGGAAATAATTTCAAACAATCTGTTAGGGGTAATCATAACTGTTGCCTAATTAAAACAATCAGGTCAAGTTATTTCCAAACTAAATTAATTGCTGGTAGATTTGATAATGTGGCAAGTCATCTTGTTAGTTATTTTTTAAAATTATATATGCAACTCTTATTAGGTCCATTTCATTGCTGAATCGTTATAAAGATTTTAGCAAAAATACTAGCTAACCAACTGCAGCCCATGTTCTCCGTTCATATAAACCCAGACCAAACTGCATTAATTAAAGATAGACAAATGGTAATATAATGGATATAATATCCATATATCCTTGGAATAACTCGTAGTGCCAAATAAAAAACCCACACATTTATTTTATCACTTGGTGTATAGAAAGCTTTTTGTTAGTCTAGAGAGGAACTACATATTTAATATCTAGTCCAATATGGATATTGGCCCCTACTTCTTAAACGGATTAGTGCTTTTTATGCCAGCCCAAAAGCAGCTATGCAAGTCAACAGCGCTAAATCTCCACTATTTGTATTACACAGGGGGAAAATGTTTACTAACATGTTCTGTAACTGTTGTTTTGCAAGATGTGTTGCACATGTCCATTCCACTTCAGGTGCATGCATGCCAAGTGCACTGGTGTCGGAGATTTTTTCCTCAGTGGTACCCGTTGGGGCAGTGCATGCCCTCTCTGCTGCCTTGTGCTGCTGCGTGATAGTATAAGGGCAGAGCCATCTCCAACCCCCCTCAGTTCTTTTTTTATCAGAGTCTATCTGATAAGAGAGGGAAAGAAGGGTGGGTTACGGAATCAACATACAACACATCTTGCAGAAAAATAATTATAGAACAGGTGATTTCACATGTCATTCTACTTCAAGTAACTCACAGGCAGTTCAATCTCGAGGTGGGATTAGAGTCTACCAGAATAATAATGGAAAGACAAGCAGCCCAAATCTGGCATCATCACTATATTATTATATTTGCCTCTCATTATGCCATCTTGCATGCACTGCAGACCAAGTTACAGCTCTGCAAATAACCAGAATATAGGCACACAGGCTAGAAAGGCTGCAGACGCTGCACGTGATGTGGCTGAATGAGCCATTACCCTACTTGGTGGAGTTACATTGGCCATGTCATAGCACAAATGTATACAAAAGGAGATCCATGACAAAATTAAAAACTAAGAAGAGACCAGAAGGCCCTTCATACTGTCTGCAACTGCCACAGACAATTGGGAGGATCTAAATGGTTTAGTTCTCTCCAAGTAAAATGCTAACCCTCTCCTAAAATCTAATGTGTGGCGTCTCTTCTTATCCTTATGAGCATGAGACTTAGGGAAAGAAGTTAATAAATATAATGTCTGATTGATGTGGAAGTGAGAGACCACTTTGGTGAGAAATTTTAGATGAGAGGGTAAGTTTACCTCATCCTTGTAGAGGACTGAATACAGAGGGTCAGACACTAGAGCTTCTAATTCATCCACTCTCCTGGCTGACAGGTTTCAGAGTAACAGCCGTGTTAGACTGTATTCGCAAAAAGAAAAGGAGTACTTGTGGCACCTTAGCTGAGGTGATTGCCACTGAGATGGCTACTTTCACTGAGAGATGGAGAAATGAACAGGTAGCCAGGGATTGAAAGGGAAGATGCATTAAGGGTAGAAAGCTGAAATAGCTGCTAGTTGGACCCTGATGGAACTAATGGCAAGCCCTAGCTGTTTCAGGTATAACAAATAGTCCATGTGATGGGGTGCACTGAAAGGGCTTAAGGTGGCCAGATAGGCCTATTAAGTCCATAGGCTGCCCCTGGAAGGAGAGCCAGGGAGTAGGGGATTGATTGCAGGCAGGTTCAGCTGGGCACAAAGCGATAGCGCCTATAAAACAAGGAAGCTGGCAACACACAGGGGCGACTGCTGAGAAAAGCTGCAGTCACACCCTGGGAACAGGAAGTTGGAGCTGATATACTCAGAGAGTATATCAGAAGAGTAGGAAGCAGTCCAGGGCAGGAGCAGTGAGAACAGAGAGCAAAGCCCAGAACTACTGGTTTGAGGGTCCGTGGGCTGGAACCTGGAATAGAGGGTGAGACCGGGTTCACCTACCCCCTGGGAAGGAGCACTGGTGGGACAATGAACTGGAAGACTGCCTGGGTCACTGTGCCTTTGAAGAACTATACCCCAGAGGTGGGGGAGGGGGGGCACTGAGTGACCTGGCTGGAGGGCTGAGTCATGAAGAGAACGCTGCAGTTCCTGGAGTGAGAGAGGGGCAGCAGACCAGAGAGAGCAAAGGAGTGATAGCGTGCAACTACAGGAAAGGGCATTGTCCTGATGAACTAATACCCAGAATAGCCGGGAGGAGGCAACCAACTAGCAGTGAGTGGAGCACCATTTAACAGTCTAGCATGTATTTTAACAGAGCCTTTTTAATGGGACCAGATGGAGAATCTCTGCCATTTAGCCTGGTAAGTATACCCAATAGAAGGTTTACTACTATTCAAGAGGACATCTTGTACCTCCTTTAAACAGCTCTCCTCCTGAGGTGTTAACCATGGAACATCCAGGCTGTTAACTGAAGAGCCTCCTGGTTGGGACTGAAGAGGTGACCACGGTCCTGAGATATCAGGTCTGGGTCCGATGAAAGCGTCAAAGGAACCTCGGCTGAGAGGCTCAGCAAAGAGGAAAACCAATGCTGGTGAGGCCACACCGGCACTATCGGCACATGGTCCTGCTTGATTTAACACTCTGGGTAGGAGTGATGGTCAAAATGACAGACTGGACTTCTACATAGAGTGCTTCCACAGACATGCACAGGCTGAAATCATGAACAAACAGCATCACTTGGCCCATAACCTCAGCTGCACAGAACACAATGACATCCACAGCCTCAGAAACAACTCTGACGTTATAATCAAAAGGGCTGACAAAGGAGGTGCTGTAGTCATCAAGAACAGGTCGGATTATGAACAGGAGGCTGTCAGACAACTCTCCAACACCACATTCTACAGGCCACTATCCTCCAATCCCACTGAGGGGTACCAAAAAAAACTACAGCATCTGCTCAAGAAACTCCCTGCTACAGCACGGGAACAAATCTACACAGACACACTCCTAGAGCCCTGACCAAGGGTATTCTGTCTGCTACCCAAGATCTATAAACCTGGAAATCCTGGAGGCCCAGCCATTGGCACTCTTACAGCAGGATTATCTGGCTATTTGGACTCTGTCCTCCGACCGTACGCTACCAGCACTCCTAGCTATCTTCAAGACACCACTGACTTCTTGAGGAAACTACAATGCATTGGAGATCTTCCATGGTGGCCAAGATGGTGTTTTCAGG